ACTGGCATTGTGCCGAAAGTTAGAGATGAGCGTCCTCATTCTGTTTCCCTCCAAGTGCGAAATTAAGCAGCTGAGGGGGGAAAGGAAAGGGCCTGAGGTTGCTAGGAATGGTGGGAGTTGAAGTTCAAACATCTGGAGGGCCAAAGTTTACTTATGCCTGGTGTAGATACACGTGGTGAAGGTAGTCCTAAATTGCCTGCGGGTCTGTTCACACCCTGAAAGTCCCCAAAACATAACATTTCCAACCTTTGGCTTTAGGAAAGGAAAGAAAGGTCTGAACTGTTTGAGGGTGAGAGTTCGGATTTTAGGGTTAAGAGATCAGATGAAATGACAGGAAACCTGGAGGCAAGACATGAGTCACTTTCTCCAGGACTAAAAGCAGAAACGCGCAGGAGAAAAGCCTTCTTGCTGCAACTCTGGTCCTGAACAGGTATTGAAACCAGGAAATATTGGTGACTAGTCATGGGCAGTGGCGCATTTGCAGGTTCTGAAGTTGCTAGTCTCGCTGTGTGTTTTATTTCGAGGAAGCAAAAGCAGAAAAACAGCTGAGCAAGTGCTGGCAGGACACATGTGCCTTGGAAACAGGTGGCATTAGTCTCTGTGTGTTATGAGTATATGCATTTGCCCAACTGTACTGGCTTTTTGCTCTGCTTATGAGCTTTGCTTTGGAATGTGGTTGGATATCGTAAAAAACAGAACGCAAAATCAGAACTGATCTGACAGGACTCTTGTTTACACTACATTACTGTTATTTAAATTCAGTTTTCCTGGATGTATTCACTGAAAGCACGTGATCATCCAGGCTGGTTGTGAGCAACCATTATGGCATATCAGCTTGCAGTTTCAATAAGATTGTTATGATGACCTTTGCCCATCATCCAAAACCTTTGGCCATAAATCCCACATTTATTGCGGAGTTATGTCTGCTTAGAGATAAGAGACAAATTTCTGTTTTGTATTCTCCAGACGCACATAAAAGTACAAAGCAAGGGTGGGAGGCTAAGACTGCAATCTGGTGCAGAATTATCAGAAGAGATCCCACATGGTGAAGTGGCTTAAGAGTTGAAGTACAAACTCTGGAGACCAATGTACATTAGGCTTGTGCAATCCGGGTAAACCTTGACCCATTTTGTGTCCTGGCTTTCGGTGGGGGCCTCAATCCTTTTTGGGAAACATTTTGAGAGATATCGCTTTTTGCCCTGGTGTGCCGAAAGAGCCATTTTCTATCGGCCCATTATATTGGGGGGGGGGGGGGCAGTTTCCCAGGTTACCCTTCCCAGTGTAAGCCAGCATTTTTTAACCTGGGGATCAGGACCCCTTGGGGGGTCGCGGGGATGTGTCAGAGGATTGCCAAAGACCARCAGAAAACACAATATTTTCTGATTATCATTAAATCTCTAATCCTTGTCCTCGCAAGCTCTTTTGCAYGGACCTGTCCTCTTGTATTGATGAATGATGCTCGAATAATAACATCTTCAACATGACAACAAACAAGCTCCTTGCCTGTAGAAAGATTGCAGAGTATTAGCTGGTCTGAGGTTGCATTTCAACTGTGGAATTGATGCCACTTTATATGCCATGGCTCTATGTTAATGGAATCATGGGAGTTATTATTTTATAAGGTCTGCCAAAGAGTTCTGGATGCCTCACTAAACTACACCTCCGATGTTTCTATAGCACTGAGCCATAGCATTTGTAGTGATGGTGTATTCTACACTGGTAATGGCCCCTAGTCATTATCCCTACTTTGAAGGGAAAGTTTTTGAAAGTGTCATCTCTTACTTCCACCTCGACTTCATCTATCTATCTATCTTCTATCTATATATATAAAAATGCTCTGTGCATAATGAGTTCCTTAAAAACAAAAGAACCAATGAACGAAATCACACCAAATTTGGCAACAAAACGTCTCACAACACAAGGAGTGACCATCACTCAAAAATTATGATTTTGTCATTTGGGAGTTGTAGTTGCTGGGATTTATAGTTCACCTACAATCAAAGAGCATTCTGAACTCCATCAATGATGGAATTGAACCAAACTTGGCACACAGAACTCCCATGACCAACAGAAAATATTGGAAGGGTTTGGTGGGCATTGACCTTGAGTTTGGGAGTTGTAGTTCACCTACATCCAGAGAGCTCTGTGGACTCAAACAGTGATGGATCTGGACCAAACTTTGCACAAGCACTCAATACGCCCAAATATGAACACAGGTAGAGTTTGGGGAAAATAGACCTTGACATTTGGGAGTTGTAGTAACTGCGATTCACAGTTCACCTACAATCAAAGAGCATTCTGAATACCACAAACGACAGAATCAGGGCAAACTTCGCACACAGAACCCCCATGACCAACAGAAAATACTTAAGGCCACCCAATCCAACTCCCTTCATCAGGGCAAGAAGACGTAATCAAAGTCCTCCTGACAAAGACCTATCCACTTATCCAGCCATAGATATAGATAGATTGATATGATTCACACACATACACAGATATAATATCATAGATTTGAAAGGGACCCTTAAAGAAGGACAATGATATGTTGTATGTTCCAAGGTGGGCAAACCAGACACTCTCCACGTCAACACTGACAAAGAAACAACAAGACATACTGTTTACCCACAAGCGTAAAGAAATTACATATATAAGAAACCAACACTTCTCATTAGTTTATTTTCCAGATCAACAGACTGGGCCACAGCAACGCGTGGCAGGGGACAGCTAGTACTGCTATAAAACACATTGGCCAGTGTGCTTAACTTCACCCAGTGGTATACCAACGGTTTCCACCCTTTCCGCTCTTCCATTTCATGCCACAGGTAGAATATTTGTTTTGGACGGAAGGAGATCCAGACGCACATTCCTGCTCAGACATGAATCTGGGTGGGTGCTCTTAGGTTAGGCCGCGCCGTGGTTTCTTAAGATATCTCATGAAAGTATGAGAAGTGAACGAATTGCCCAATCCCGTCTCAAAAGAGCTTTAGAAATGGTTGCACCCTACAGCTTGCATGTAAACACTTTCTCAGTCCTTGCAGAGAGATTTAAGTATGTGGCTAAAAAAACATCAGCTAGGTGTGAATAGGTTACCTAGGAATGACTCTCAGTGAACCTTTGGATGCCTTGCTTCCAAATCAACTTAGACTGGATCTACACTGTGATATAATGAAGCTTCCTACTCAACAGGTGCATTTACACTGTTGATTTAATGCAGTTTGGCATCACTTTAACTGCCGTGTCTCAGTGCTGTGGAATCTTGGGAGTTGTAGTCTGGCGGGGCAGCAGCCTTGGCAGAGAAAGCTGAAGACCTTGTAAAACTACATCTCTCAAGATTCCATAGCCTTGAACCAAGGCAGTTAAAGTGCTATCAAAATGCATTAATTCTACAGTGTCTCTGCATTATTTATTTATTTACAGTATTTATATTCCATCCTTTTCACCCTGCAGGGCGCTCAGGGCGGATTACAATGCACATATTCATGGCAAACATTCAATGCCACTAGACATACAACATATATAGACAGACACAGAGGCAGTTTAACATTCCAGCTTTCTAGCTTCATGAGGGTATGCTTGATTCCGGTCACAGTGGGAGCTACCACTACACCATCCACTTGTGACACCGAGTCCTTGATGGAGTACTTCCTCATTCTTACACATGCTGCTGGAAGGTTTTATGGTGTCGTAAATTAGTTATATTAGCGTCCCTGCATAAAGCAGTACCTAAATTTCCTACTTGACAGATACAACTGTCTTTCGGGCTGCATAGGTCAACAGCAAGCTAGACTATTAATGGTCGGGAGCTCACTCCAACCCGGGCTGGCTTTAAACTCATGACCTCTTGGTCAGTAGTGATTTAATGCACCTGGCTACTAACTAGCTGTGCCACAACCCAGTCCATGATACTTGCAGTGAGATCTGGGAGATCTAATCCAGAAAAGATTATTCTCAAATTATTATTATTACTGTATTGTCGAAGGCTTTCATGGCTGGAATCACTGGGTTGCTCTGAGTTTTCTGGTCTGTATGACCATGTTCCAGAAGCATTCTATCCTGACGTTTCGCCTGCATCTATGGCAGTCATCCTCAGAGGTTGTGAGGTCTCTGGGAAACTAGGAAAGTGGTGTTTATATATTTGTTAAATGTCCAGGGTGGGAGAAAGAACTCTTTTCTGCAGCTGGCTACTAACTAGCTGTGCCACAACATGGTCCATGATACTTGGAGTGAGATCTGGGAGATCTAATCCCGAAAAGATTATTCTCAAATTATTATTATTATTATTATTATTATTATTATTATTATTATTATTATTGTATTGTCAAAGGCTGTCATGGCCAGAATCACTGGGTTGATGTGAGTTTTCTGGTCTGTATGGCCATGTTCCAGAAGCATTCTCTCCTGATGTTTCGCCTGCATCTATGGCAGTCATCCTCAGAGGTTGTGAGGTCTGTTGGAAACTAGGAAAGTGGGGTTTATATATTTGTGGAATGTCCAGGGTGGGAGAAAAAAACTCTTATCTGTTTGAGGTAGGTGTTAATGTTGCAATTGGCCACCTTGATTAGCATTTAATGGCCTTGCAGTTTCAAGATCTGGCTGCTTCCTGCCTGAGGGAATCCTTTGTTGGGAGGTGATTAGCTGGCCCTGATTGTTTCTTGTCTGGAGTTCCTCTGTTATTGTTATATAAATGATGTGGAAGGTAGAAAGCAGGAGAACATTTGGCATGTTTGAAGTTAGTTTTGGTATTTTTTTCTGGCTGTTTGTATTTGTTAGGATGTTTGTCATATGGTAGCAATGTAATCCTTTTCAAAGACAATATTTTGACACTGCAAGAAAGCAAGTTTTAACTTGATGAGAGCAGCTCTCTCTTAAATAGACCTCTGGGGTGGAATTTGCATGTTTAATCAAATCTGTAGTCCGGGGAGTGTGTTTGCATCATTCAGTCTGCCTTTGGCCAGCTTGTTGGTGGCCTCTTCTGGCTTTCCGGGTAGCAGCAAACTCCTTCCTAAACTCTAAGTACATGTGTACAGCGCATACCTTCCTGGCTGCCACTCCCTTCCTTTCAAATGGATATGAAAGCCCTTTTTCCTTTGCTCTCCTTTGCCTTTCTGCCTGCAAAGGCATCTATCTGTCTGCCCATCCCTTCCTGCTTTTGTGCCGTGACCAAGCCAAGGAAAGGCAAGATCTCCCTCCACCAACACCACCCACCTTCCCCTTTTCCTGCAGCCAACTCTCCATCCCTTTGAAACAAGGAGGGGTTTGATCCACTGCCGAAAGGAGGACCACAGGGAGAGCTGGCTGGGGGCACCCCCGTTGCGGCAGCTTGCCGAATCCACCCCTTCGCCTCATCCTCCAGCAAAGAGAGAAAGCAAAGAGAAGCTGCTTCCCTCCCTCTTCTTGACAACTGTCTTGCTTTTATCTGCTCCTCTCTGGATTTCGGAGCCGAGGATGCAAAGGAGTCTCCGCTCCAAGGAAGAGCGTATTTTCTCACAGAAGGTCGACTTAGGAAAATGCTCCAGAGGAACATCTGGAACTGAAGGGTAATGGATCTTTCTTGTCATAGGAGCTCAGGGAAAGGTGGGCATAACAAAGGGGATTTTTTGAACAATGGGAAGCTTATTTGGGAATGCAGGGAGGATCATATTTAAGATTAGAGGAGAAACTAAGCAGGAATTTGGACCCATGATTTGAGGATTAGCAAAGAGACATCAGGTAATTAGTTCTGATCTCCCTCCCCAAGATCTGTTTAAAGCAGCATTTCTCAACCTGGAGGTCGGGACCCGGGGGTGGGGGAGCGGGGTTGCAAGGTGGAATTCAGAAGGGTCACCAAAGTACATCAGAAAACACATATTTCTGATGGTTTTAGGAACCCTTTTGGCAGAGAAGCTGAATATCTCTTTTCCTGTCCTTCTCTTCCTTTTTTGGTGTTGATGAACTACATCTCCCAGAATTCAAAAACAGCCCCACAACCCCACCAGTATTCAATGTTGGCCATGTAGGTAGTGTGCCAAGCTTGGTGCAGATACATTATGGACTGGGTTCAGAGCGCTCCGATTTTAGGTGAACTATAAATCCCAGCAACTATAACTCCCAAATGGCAAAGTCTATTTTCTCCAAACTCCACTGGTGTTCACATTTGGGCATATTGAGTATTTGTTCCAAGTTTAGTCCAGATCCATCATTGTTTGAGTTCACAGTGTTCTCTGGATGGAGGTGAACTACAATTCCAAAACTCAAGGTCAATGTCCACCAAACCTTTCCAGTATTTTCTGTAGGTCATGGGAGTTCTGTGTGCCAAGTTTGGTTCAATTCCATCGTTGGTGGAGTTCAGAAAGCTCTTTAATTGTAGGTGAACTATAAATCCCAGCAACTACATCTCCCAAATGACAAAATTAATGCCCTCCCCCAACCTCACCAGTATTCAAATTTGTGCCAAATGTGGTCCAGTGAATGAAAATACATCCTGAACATCAGATATTTAGATTACGATTCATAATAGTAGCAAAATGACAGTTGTGAAGTAGCAATGAAAATAATGTTATGGTTGGGAGTCACCACAACATGAGGAACTGTATTAAGGGGTCGCGGCATTAGGAAGGTTGAGGATCACTGGTTTAAAGAAATCTGCATTTTCTTCCATTGATCAAGCTGGATTTCTTTTCAGTAAATCAGAACATCTCCCCTTGGGCATGTAGATCTGATTTAAGGTTTCTTTAGGAATAGATTATCAAGACAATCTTCAAGAGCTCTAGAAATGGTCTTCTTCTACTCAGGGGAAATCTGGGCTTTGAATGTATTGAGATGTAAGTCTCTTTCTTTCTTTCTTTCTTTCTTTCTTTCTTTCTTTCTTTCTTTCTTTCTTTCTGTTAAGATCTGCACCACAAAGCAAAATGACATGCCACTTTCCTTTGTTCTTCCACCTTCTCCTGATAATCTTAAACTTCAGTAATATTGAAGGAGGGAGAGGGGAAAATGGATTTCCATGTTAAGGAAATCATTTTGCGTATTTTCTTAAACTCTCCCATTTCCAAGGCAGCTTAGTTCTTATTTCTGGGGTTGAGTGGGCGTATCAGAACTACCCACTTTCTAGGACAGTATTTTTCAACCTTCCTAATGCCACGACCGCTTAATACAGTTCCTCATGTTGTGGTGACCCCAAACCATAAAATTATTTTTGTTGCTACTTCACAATTGTAATTTCCTACTGGAATGAATTGTGATGTAAATATCTGATATGCAGGATGCATTTTCATTCACTGGATGAAATTTGGCACAAATACCAGATATGCCTAAATCTGAATACTGGTGGGGTTGGTGGTGGGGTGTGTGTGTGATTTTGGTATTTAGGAGTTGTAGTTGCTGGGATTTATAGTTAACCTATAATCAAAGAGCATTCTGAACTCTGGGCTTTATCGTTATAGTTAGTTATTCTGAATTCAACCAGTGATGGAATTGAACCAAACTTGGCACACAGAACTCCCATGACCAACAGAAAATACTGGAAGGGTTTGGTGGGCATTGACCTTGAGTTTTGGAGTTGTAGTTCACCTACATACAGAGAGCACTGTGGACTCGAACAATGATGGATCTGGACCAAACTTGGCACGAATACTCAATATGCCCAAATGTGAACTCTGGTGGAGTTTGGGGAAAATGGACGATGGAATTGAACCAAACTTGGCACACAGAACTCCCATGACCAACAGAAAATACTGGAAGGGTTTGGTGGGCATTGACCTTGAGTTTTGGAGTTATAGTTCACCTACATCCAGAGAGCACTGTGGACTCAAACAATGATAGATCTGGATCAAATTTGCCACAGATACTCAATATGCTCAAATGTGAACCCTGGTGGAGTTTGGGGAAAATAGATCTTGATATTTGGGAGTTGTAGTTCCTGGGATTTATAGTTCACCCACAATCAAAGAGCATTCTGAACCTCACCAACGATAGAGTTAGCCAAACTTCTCATATAGAACCCCCGTGACCAACAGAAAATGCTGTGTTTTCTGATAGTCTTTGGCAACCTCTCTGACACCCCATTGCAACCCCTCCCAGGGGCCCCGACCCCCAGGTTGAGAAACACTGTTCTAGCCAAAGGGGAAAGGCGTACATTTCATCCCACATAAAAAGGACCATACGACCATCTCCCATTGCAACAATTCTGGCTTCACCATGATGAAATAGTCACAAAGTCTGCGGACATAAAATATGTCCTGGATGAGACGCATGAGTTTTCTTTTTCTCCTGGAGTTCAATGCTTATTGTGGCTTTGCAGTTTCCCGCTTTATGTGGTTCCCAGTTTCGAATGATTCATCCAAACCGTTGGATTTCTTTCTTTTTTTCCAAATTGGAAAAAGAACACAATGAGTGTGCAGAGACTTCAATGCCAGCCTTGAGGAGAATGGGAATAGTTCCAGGAAGGAGAACAAACTGGATGGGATGTTGAAACCAAGAGTGTTTATGAGCTTGTGCAAAGTAGCCAGCCATAGGTAGGCTTTTCCTTCAGTGGAAAAAATAATGTCAGATTTGTTGTCAAAGGCTTTCATGACTGGAATCACTGGGTTGCTGTGAGTTTTCCCTCCTGACGTGATGTGGGTGAAATGTCAGGAGAGAATGCTTCTGGAACATGGCCATACAGCCCAGAAAACTCATAGCAGCCCAATGTCAGATCCATTATCCTGATTTTACCCAGTACAACAAACCAATCACCATTTTGTTTTTGTTTTTTTTTCCTGAGGGGAAAACATTTGGCCACTCCACATGCTCAAAAGCATGCCTGATTATACCAGCATGTCTTAATTCCCAGATGACTTCTACTGTGGCATAAATTAAGAATACGTATTTTGGTCTTGGTGGATGCCATCCCTTCTTTGTTGCTCTGTTATTATTGTTGGGTGGCTACAAGAAAATTCTGTTTTATACTGATGTAGTGGACAGCCTATAATAGTATTTTTTGGGGCAGAATTCTGAAGAATTTTGTTGTTATGTTCTTCTGAGGCTGAGAGAGTGTGACTTTCTGAAGGTCACCCAGTGGGTTTCCATGGATGAGCAGGAATTCGAGTCCTGATCTCCTGAACTGTAGTCCAATGTTCAAACCACTGCACCAGGCATGGGGAAAAATTGGGCCCTCCAGGTGTTTTGGACTTCAACCCCCACAATTCCTAACAGCCGATACTATGTATGCATATATGCAACTCTTTACAATTCCTCAAAAGAGATGCCACAAAGTTATAATTCCTTCAACTCTAACATGGAAGGAACCTGGGGCTGTTAGGAATGGTGGGAGTTGAAGTCCAAAACATCTGGAGGGCCCAAGTTTGCCCATGAACACAGCACTGGACCATATTATGGCTTTGTGTTAATCATAATTTAGAACCCAAATTGTAACATGCATATTGGGCAAAACCAAGAACTAGAACAACAAGGCACCTTAAACAAGGCTTTGGTGGCATGTTTATTCGACATCAGATGCTAAGAAT